CACAGTGCTACGAGGAGGGGCCGTTTYTGCCCAGCACTCCCAGGTTTGCAGTGCAGGTGGGGATGGCCAGGAAAAGGGAGCTGCTCCTCAAACCCGACTGGGCAGCCYTGGCTGGGCTGAGCACCGGGCTCCTCCTGCTGCTGGCTGCCTGCCTGGCTTGGGCTGTAAGTAAAATCTACAATGTTCTCTAAAAAAAAAAGGAAAAAAAAAATTATGTAAGATTTTATGCAGCGAACCCACAATTTATCTGTTCTCTTAAGCGGCCCCTACAAAGCTGAAAATCAGGATAAATTGCAACTCAACCCCCTGTTAAATATATTTTTAGGATTTTGCTGTGATTTTGCTGTGATTTTGTTTGATTGTGCTGTGATTTTTGCTGCGATTTCACTGTAATTTTGTTGTGATTTTTGCTGTGATTTTGCTGTGATTTTTGCTGCAATTTCACTGTAATTTTGTTGTGATTTTTGCTGTGATTTCGCTGTGATTTTCGCTGTGATTTTTGCTGTGATTTTGTTGTGTTTTGCAGCTCCTGTGCCAAGGCCTGGGATGGGCACCCAGGGGCAGCCCCTGCCCCGCGTTCCGGAGGCGCCAGCTCAGGCACAGCCTGGACCAATATTCCTCCAAAATTCCCAGCGTCTTTTCCATCAGGAAACCCCATCCCTCCCTGCAACACGGGGCTGCCACAGGTCAGACAACAAAAATCCCAAAAACCCGGCGGGTTTTGCACAGAATGGAACCGAAATTCTGCTTTCAGCGCTGCTGAATTCAGGGATTCTGTTCAGAATGAACCTGAAATGACACAGAACCCCCAAATTTATCAATAAATATTGATCCAGGCTATTTCCTGAGGAGAGGAGAGGCTTGGGAGCCTGAAGAACACGTCGACCTCGAGGCTTTTAACACCAAAGTTTTCTTTGAGCTCCTGCTGAGACAATCCCACTCTGTCACCAGCACCYTGGGCCACTTCAAAGAAGAGGTAAATCATTATTTAGGGCTGCTTTTCATGTARAAACACCTAAAATCTGCAATTTGTTCCTCTCATTTCATCAATTTTCAGCTGCCAGGGAGATGCTTTATTTCAACTTTCATCTGCCTATAAGATAATAAATATAAATATATCCTCATTTTATTCAACATTTTCTTTAAAAGTGGGAAGAGCAATGACCTTAAGGCACAACATTTTGGGTTTTTTGAACTGATGTATTTTTTAGACAGTGACTTCATCTTCCACCTTCAATTTTTAATCCATAAAATGAAAAAATTATGGATTTTCTACACAGGAGATGTGCAGGTTAAACTGAGGGGAAATGAATAAATGAATAGATGAGTATAATATTTGAATTTTATGATAAATATCTCAGCTGAAAGCGATGGGAGAGCATTTCACAGCCCAAACTTGAACCCACCTATGGCACTTCTGTGACTCCAAGTGCGGGTTAAAGGACAGCAGAGGGAGCTGGATCCACAGCAAGCACTGCACTGAAAAATAATGGGCAGAAATCATCGTTCCCTGCTCTGAACTGAGCTGGTTTTGAGATGTTTGCACCAAAAACTGACCCCAGATTGGGTTTTTTACAGGAAAAGCTGTTTATTGTGCAGGTAGACCTCAGCAGCTCCAAATTATCCCCTCACTCCTAATAGAGACTTTCAATTTTCATTTTATTTTGCACCTCAGCTTCAAATTATCCCTTCATTGCTAAAAGAAACTTTCAATTTTCTTTTTTCTTTTGTACCTAAGGTGAAAATTCTGTACCACAGGGTAATGACTGAAATATCCTCGCTGAAAAAGCTCTGGATAAAAACTCAGAGCATCCCAGGAAAGGGGAAGGAAGATGAGAACACAGCGACAGGGGGCTGCAAAAAGGCAGAAGAGCAGGTAGAGCTCAGCCCAGCAACACTTACACCTGGAAAAAAAAATTCAATTCACACCTGGAATAATAAATTGGGTTCTCCTCTAGAAATCTTAGTCATGCTCATGCAAAATGTCACTTTTAGTATGGCAGAAATTTAATATTTTATGGGCTGGAAAGCAATTAATTGCAATGTCATTAAAGAAGAGGTTTTGGCATCATTTGAAGCTGCTGCTGTTGCTTTGTGTTGGCAGAGGCATCTCTGAAATAATATTAATTATTATATAATAATCATATATAAATCACTGTATTGTTTTATTATTTTTTCTTATTTATTTCTATAATTTTATACTAATTAATTATATATAACTATATTATAATCATTTGCAATTATAACTGATACATAATATATTATATGTAGACTGTAGAATATAAATATATTGAAATAGAAATGTAATTATACATTGATTATTATATGCACACTGTAGAATATAAACATATTAAAATAGAATTATAATTATATAACTTAATATTATATTATATTCACATTGTAGATTTATGGCCTCAGTGGGGTCTCAAGTGACCCATGGGAGATCATCCCACAAAAATTGATCCCACTGCTCCGATCTGCGGTTCGAGTGCTGGAGGAAAACAGAAAAAACAGTTCCTCAKMTGAAACACCAGGTAAGAGAGAAAAKAAATGTATTGTCACTTACCTTGGTTTATTCTTGGAATATTTCAAATTTAAATCCAGAAGTTTCTCCCTCTCGCAGCTGAAAATCAGATTTTGGTCCTGTTTTRTTAAGGATTTCCTTGGAATTAAAGAGGAAATTTGTGTAAATTTGCCACAGGGTGGATGAGCCCTGAAATCAGGGGTGAGACTCAAATGTCTCGTGCCAGCCCTCACCAAAGTGAAGGGAAATTTTGGAAAATAATCCATTTCTTGCAGGAAATTCATTCCCTCTCATTTTTTCTGCAGGCTACTCCTCAAGGAGCACCTTCAAAGTCTCTGCTGCTCACACAGAGACATCAAAAACTGAAGAAAATCAGGAAAATTCAGCTCCYAAAGCATCTCCTGCTCTTCTCACAGGTACCAAGGAGCTGAAGGAGGCAGAGCAGCCGATGGCACCCAGGGCCACCCAGCACCCAACWCCTCCTCTGCACGGTAAAAACTCTAAATCATTTTGGTGCCTTTTCTTCCTTTTCCTGCCTCTGTTTCACCTCGCCTACAAAATTCAAATGTTTGCTCAAAAACCGCGGGAAGAAAGGGATTGTTTGGGGAAAAAACATTTCTGTTCTTCTTTGCACAGGGGGTGAAACRAAGGACAGAAAATTCTCTTTTCTCCTCAGTCTCCTGCAGGAGGTGAACGAGGAGCTCCGAAGTCATTCGGTGGCCACTGGGCTGGGATTAAAGCTGGAGAAAAGTAAATTTTGCCTCTTTTCCCTCTCATCAAACAAATCTGGGTGTGATTGGAGGGTTCCTGTCTCGTCCTTTGGGCAGCTGTTGATTTGGATCAGTTTTGCTGCACAAACWCCTCTCCTTTCAGAGGAAGGGCTGTACCAATGAAAAAGAAAAACTCAGCACCCAAATCACCAGGATTTGCTGCTCATAATTAACATCACTTTTCCAGACCTTAATTATGAGAAATTTCTCTAGGAAAAGTGAATTTTGGACATTTCATAATTATTCCTCAGGCATCAGTAGGGATTCACCTTGTTTTGAACAATATAAAAGATGAGAAAGGGAATATTTTATCCCCTCCTATTGCAGCGGTGCCTCTTGGACAAACAAAATATAAATAGAAATTTTAAAATCTGATTACTTAATCTACTGCTACTGTTCTTGCAGCAGAAATGACTGCTCAGGGCTCACAGGATGCCTCAAGGGCTCAGGAGAGAGGATTGACAGCAGTGGATSCTGCAGCTCTTCCTCCCAGGGAATTTGGGGTGTCCCAATCCCTCTCAGAACTGGAGGACAAAGTGGATGCCCTGACCCAGGAGCTGCTGCACATCACGGAGGATGAACAGCAGTTTTTAAGCAGCAAAGGCAATGAAGATCTGCTCTCGTATTACCTGGAAATCACCAGCTTGGAGAAGGAGGCTTTGGTAAAACAAATAAATGCATTAGAAAAGGAAATAGCCCAGGGAAGGAAGTTGTGATGGAGCTCAAAAACTTGGTTTGGTTCTCTCTCCTCTGCATTTGGCTTCAAGGCAAAGAAAATCTCCCATTTTTGCTTTAATTTTTGTGGGTTTTTTCCTCTTCATCCTAAAAGCTCATTAAAGCAGGAGTGAAAGCAGCACAGCAATTTCAGTGACGAGGCTTTGGCCACAACAACTGACATTTCTGGCCACATCCAAGCGGGGGAAAAGAAATATTGCTACAAAAACCCAGCCTCAGGGTTTCCAGGAACAGCAGCAAAATTTAGAATCACTCCATTTTGAGTGTGCAATAAATTATTCTTTCAACCAATGCATGGTTCCAGGAGGTGCTCTGAGGCCTCTGCAGCTGAGAGTTGCACTTTTCTGATTTTATGACACAGCAAAATCCACACCTAGAGTTACCTGGGTTAATTACAACTGTGCAATTACACTTCAAGTGTATGAAATATTATTCTCCACTGTCAAAGCAGACTCTGGAGTCCCCACACTTCAGCTCTGTCCCACCATACACCCAGAGATGCAGGTCCTGCACTGCCCAAAATCATTTCTGCCCTTAAATCTGAGAAACTTCCCTCTCCCTCTCCCAAATCCAAGAGCCAGACCCCAAAAACTCAAGAAATATTCAATATTTTCTGATCAGAAGCCTCTGGAGTCCCCACATTTCAGCTCTGTGCCACCATCCACGGAGGAACAGAGTTCCTGCACTGCCTAAGGCCACTCCTGCCCTTAAATTTGAGGAATCAGTCTCTCCTCCTCCCAAATCCAAGAGCCAAAACACAGGAAATATTCAAWATTTTCTGATCAGTGAACCAYCAGCCCAGCCTCCWGTRTCAAYAAAAARTRAGGGAAGAGCAAAATCACTCAAAGCTCTTTTTTTTCCCCCCATCAGTACAAAACTCATGGGGACAACAGCACAATTTAAATATTTTTGTGTGTCATCAAATAGGTTTTTGCTCATAACACCTTTGCCAGAAGGAAGCAGAAAATCCTTCAGATCAGCTTGAGGTATGTTTTTATCTTCCCCCACATGTTGTATTTCCACCACAAATCTTTTGAAGATCCTTCAAGGCCCCACCAGCAGATGGCCTGGATAAAAACAACCTCAGTGGATTTACTGACTTAAGCATTTATTTTTTAAATCACAAGAAAACWCTCACATTGAAAATGCAATCTCATATTAACAACAATTAAAAACATTTAAAAACTACGATTAAACCCCTTCCAATACAGAAWCAGAGGCAGGGTTCAGACAGCGAATGCTAGTTTTTAATTTTAATTATTAATTTTTTAATTCAATTTGATTTTTTTTTTTTAATTTGCATGAGCACAGCCAGGGTTTCAAGAACCAAACCGAGCCCCAGCTYTACTTTTTGGTGTTGACCCAGTGGTACCTGTCGAGCCGGGGGCCCAGGGCGGTGGCCGTGGCTCGGTGGATCCGGTAGCCCCGGTGCTGGCCATGGTGGGGACCCTCAGCCACGTAGGGGTTCCTGAGCAGGTGCTGGGACCAGGGCTGGGCAGGAGCCCGGTAGAAATCACCAAACTGAACAGCAAGAGGGGGGAAAAACGTTCAAATGTGCTGGGAAAGAGTGGGGAAGGGTCAGCGAGTCCAAATTGTACCCATTCCTTGCTGAGGAAGTGACAGGGGGCTCGTGGGGCTCCTGCCAATGCTCCATCCCACTCACAGCACCCTAAAATCAACCCCAGAGCTTCTCTATCCCCTCTCCCCACATCTCCTGAACACCCTAAAACCAATCCCAGCACTTCCCTACCCCCACATCCCCTGAACACCCTAAAATCAATCCCAGCGCTTCCCTATCCCCTGTCCCCACATTGCCTGAGCACCCTAAAATCAATCCCAGTGCTTCCCTACCCCCTGTCCCCACATCTCCTGAACACCCTAAAATCAATCCCAGTGCTTCCCTATCCCCTGTCCCCACATCTCCTGAACACCCTAAAATCAACCCCAGCACTTCCCCAACCCCTGTACCCACATCTCCTGAACCCCCAGGGTTGGTGACACCATCAGGGAGGGTGGCAGTCACCGTCCAGGGGTGGTGATGCCCCACACCAGGGCTGGACAATCCTTTCAGGGGARAAATCCAACCCAAACCTCCCCTGGAGCCCCTCAGGGCCATTTCCTCTGATCCAGGAGAAGACTCTGCCCCTGCCCGTTTTGGGGGAGCTGCAGGATGAGCAGAGCCCCCCACCCTCACCTGGTACACACTGTTGGGGTTGCTGACGGTGGGGATGGCCCGGGGCTCGTGGTTGGAGCTCTCCTCGTCCGAGGATGCTCCYGAGGGACAGTCCAGGGCTGCCATGCCCACGGCCACGCTGATCTGCTGCGCCAGCTCCGCGCTCTCCTTGCCCCCGAAGCGCGCCACGGAGAAGGGCTGGCTGTTCTCACCGTACCTGTACAATGGGTGGGAGCTGAGGGAGGCCAGAACACCCCAAAAACCGGCAAACACTCGGGGTGAAGRCTGGGAGCAGATTTGGGGTGGATTGARYRAMAAGGACTCAGTCGGGGCCCAGGCTAGGAGCAGCTTTGGGGTGGATTGAAAACCAAGAACCCAGTCCCTGGACTAGGAGCAGATTTGGGGTGGGTTGAACACCAAGAACTCGATTGGGGCCCAGGTTTGGACAGATTTGGGGTGGATTGAACACCAAGGACTGGGTGTGGGCCGGTGCCCAGGCTGAGAGCAGATTTGGGGTGGATTGAACACCAAGAACTCGGTCAGTGCCTGGGCTTGGAGCAGCCTTGGGATGGGTTGAACACCAAGGACTCAGCTGGGCCCAGGTTTGGAGCAGCTTTGGGGTGGGTTGAACACCAAGAACTCGGTCAGTGCCTGGACTAGGAGCAGATTTGGGGTGGATTGAACACCAAGGACTTGGTCAGGGCCCACACTCAGAGCAGATTTGGGGTGGGTTGAACACGGGCACTGGGTGTGGGCCAGTGCCCAGCCTGGGAGAAGATTTGGGGTGGATTAAACACCAAGAACTCAGCCAGTGCCTGGCTTGGAGCAGATTTGGGTGGATTGAACACTGAGCTCTTGGTGTGGGTACAACATGAGCACTGGGTGTGGGCCAGTGCCTGGGCTGGGAGCAGATTTGGGGTGGATTGAACGCCAAGAACTGGGTGTAGGTTGGTGGCCAGGCTCAGAGGAGCTTTGGGTGGGTTGAAATGAGCTCTGGGTGTGGGTCTGGGCCTGGGCTCAGAGCAGATTTGGGTAGATTGAACACCAAGCTCTTGGTGTGGGTCTGTGCCCCGTCTTGGAGCAGCTCTGGGTGGGTTGAACACCGAGCACTGGGTGTGGGTTGGTGCCCGGGCTCAGAGGAGCTTTGGGTGGGTTGAAATGAGCTCTGGGTGTGGGTCTGGGCCTGGGCTCAGAGCAGATTTGGGTGGGTTAAACACAATGGGTCAGTGCCCTGCTCAGAGCAGATTTTGGAGGGTTGAACACCATGGGTCAATGCCCAGCTCGGAGCTTACCTGCAGGACACCTCGAAGGGATCCACCCACAGCGTCAGCTCCTCGGGCAGGCTCAGCTCAGTGAGCTCCACGCCGCTCTCAGCACAAGCCTGCTCCAGCAGGGGCTCCCTGGCCTGCCTGTTCACCCTGATACACCTGCAAAGCACCAAAGGGTGGAGGAACTCAGGTTCTGCACACAGAAAATTTTAAAAAAATTAAAAAAAAAAATTTTTAGGGCACCCCCAAAATCCCCCTTCATTGTTTGAGGCCTTTGAACCCATCAACACAAGTTCTCGCTCAGAGCCCCATCAGAAAATCTGATTTATCAACGCAAACAAGACTTTGATTTTCAACCTCATCAATTCCTGACGAGGCAATTTGCTGCTTTACGTGTTTAAAACAGAACCTAAAAGTCAGTTCAGTTTAAAACAGGACCTAATTCTGCATCCAGGGAGTCAGGAGCNGGCTAGGAGCAGCTTTGGGGTGGATTGAACACCAAGAACCCAGTCCCTGGACTAGGAGCAGATTTGGGGTGGGTTGAACACCAAGAACTCGATTGGGGCCCAGGTTTGGACAGATTTGGGGTGGATTGAACACCAAGAACAGGGTGTGGGCCGGTGCCCAGGCTGAGAGCAGATTTGGGGTGGATTGAACACCAAGAAATCGGTTGGGGCCCAGGCTGGGAGCAGCTCTGGGTGGATTGAATACCAAGAATTAGGTGTGGGCCAGTGCCTGGGCTGGGAGCAGATTTGGGTGAATTGAATGCCAAGCATTCGGTCAGGGCCCAGGCTCAGAGCAGCTCTGGGTGCGTTGAACACGAGCTCTCGGTGCCTGGGATCAGAGCAGATTTGGGGTGGGTTGAACACCGAGCACTGGGAGTGGGTCAGTGCCCGGGCTCAGAGCAGCTTTGGGGGAGTTGAAACGAGCACTTGGTAAGAGTCTGGGCCTGGGCTCAGAGCAGATTTGGGTAGATTGAACACCGAGCTCTTGGTGTGGGTCTGTGCCCGGTCTCGGAGCAGGTTTGGGTGGGATGAGCACCAAACATTGGGTGTGGGTCTGTGCCTGGGCTGGGAGCAGATTTGGGGTGGATTGAACGCCAAGAACTCAGTTGGGGCCCAGGCTCGGAGCAGATTTGAGTGGGTTGAACACCGAGCGCCAGGTGTGGGTCAATGCCCAGGCTCAGATTTGGATGGGTTGAACACCACGGGTCAGTGCCCGGCTCAGAGCAGATTTTGGGGGGTTGAACACCGTGGGTCAATGCCCAGGCTCAGATTTGGGTGGGTTGAACACCGTGGGTCAGTGCCCAGCTCGGAGCTAACCTGCAGGACACCTCGAAGGGATCCACCCACAGCGTCAGCTCCTCGGGCAGGCTCAGCTCGGTGAGCTCCACGCCGCTCTCAGCACAAGCCTGCTCCAGCAGGGGCTCCCTGGCCTGCCTGTTCACCCTGATACACCTGCAAAGCACCAAAGGGTGGAGGAACTCAGGTTCTGCACACAGAAAATTTTAAAAAAATTAAAAAAAAAAATTTTTAGGGCACCCCCAAAATCCCCCTTCATTGTTTGAGGCCTTTGAACCCATCAACACAAGTTCTCGCTCAGAGCCCCATCAGAAAATCTGATTTATCAACGCAAACAAGACTTTGATTTTCAACCTCATCAATTCCTGACGAGGCAATTTGCTGCTTTACGTGTTTAAAACAGAACCTAAAAGTCAGTTCAGTTTAAAACAGGACCTAATTCTGCATCCAGGGAGTCAGGAGCTGCTTAAAACATTTGTCACACAGTGCCTTAAGATTTCCACCTCAGCTCTYTAATCACACCTTTTTCAGGTGAAAAATAAGCACATTTTCCCCAGTTATGATTTCCTCCTTCAAGCTTGAGGAGTATCCATGTGGTTCCCTTTATTTAATTATAAKCTTATAAACTTCCAAATTTATTTGAAACTTACAATTTATTTATTTACTCACAAACCCAAAAGTTTCCCTCTATTTATTTCACTTTGAGGCCTCCAGGAGCCACTTTTTGACCACCATCCCAATGCTCCCTCTCACCTGAAAGCGTGTCCTCGGCAGGGATTTTCGGGGTACCAGTGATTTTTGTACTTTTCAAACAGAATCGCGCTCAGCTTGGCCGCRAATTTATCCAACTTGTGCTTGCTCAGCTTCTCCTTCTTCCTCACCAGCTTTGTGATGAAGAAGACTGCGGAAGCAATTTCATCTTTCATCATAAAGCAAGGCCCAGGAGGAGCTGGAGCTGTTGGGGAGCCATCAGCAGAGATAAAAATGACAAAAGAAAGATTTAATAACATTAAAACAYCATCAGGTGCCAGGAGTAGATGCTGCAAAACCCGCCTGAGCCAGGCCAGGCAGAGCCTGGGCCTGCCTGAGTGCCAAACAACAGATTAAATTTAGTTTGGGTTATTAAAGCCAATTTAATGAATTACTAGAAGGCACCTGCACTGAGCAGGTGAGCAGAGAATATAAAAATAAGGAGTTTAAAATGTGATAGTTCTTATTATGCATCACATATATTAAAAGCAGCTAATTTTAGTTATATATATTTATATTATATATATTTATCCTGCATATATATTTATTCTGTATATATATACTGTATAAATCTATTTATCCTGTATATATATTTATAATGTATATATATGCATTTATCTTGTATATATATTTATCCTGTGTATATATTTATCCTGTATACATATTTATCCTGTATATATTTATTTATCCTGTATATATATTCATAATGCATATATATATTTATCCTGTATATGTATTTATCCTGTATATGTATATTTATCCTGTATATATATTTATTTTTTTATACAAAAACAAGACCAAACCCAGCACCTTCTCACAGCAGAGACAGTGCAAACTGGAGAAAAACCCTTTGGGAAGAGTCAGAAAGGCACCAAGAGCCCAGACAAAACACCACAAAGCCCTAAAACATTTACAGAGGAAGAAATCCCAAAGAGCAAATCCTCCTGTGCCCTTTCTCTGCCACATTTTGGCCAGGTTTTATATGGAACAGGAGCCTGGTGGGGGTGAGGGATGCTACAATATTCAGGTGTGCAGGAGCTGCAGGTGTTGGGTTAATTAATGGGTTTCAAAGATGATTCCAATTTCCTGGGCTTTATTCCCACAGCAGCTCCTTCTTTTAGGGTGGATTTCATCAATTCTGTTCTGTATTCTGCTGTGTCCATCAGTCCACCCCATGGACTGATAAATTCAACATTTAATATTTTTAAATAAATAAATATTTTTAATAAATATTGAATACTTAACATTCATCATGAGGAAAACAGCACCAGGCTTATTAATTAATTAATTAATTAATTACTAAAACTGGGCTTGACTGCTTCCAGCAGCCTTAACACGATTATTTTCCATGCAAAACCTTCCCATTTGGTGTTCTTTATTTAGAAAACTGCTCAATCCTGGATTTATCTCATCATTAATCTCCCTGCTCACATTATCATCATGGATTTATTTCGGTTTTGAGGTGTTAAACACAGAGGGAACGGCTCAATCCCTCAAATGTGAGAGTTGTGCTCGTTTTTTGGAGCCCCACACTGCAATTTATTTATTTATCCTGTATATATATTTATATATATATAAATTTTTATATATATACAGAGAAAAGCTGATGAGTTCCTTTTCTCCCCCTTTTGCTGCCTCAGGAAGTTGTGTCAGACACCAGGAACTGCCAGAGACAAAAGAACAAATGGAGGAACAAAGAGCTGAGTGTTCAAAAAGGGCTCTGATGGGGCTGAGGATGGGGCAGCCCAGCAGCTCCAGAGCTCCCAGGGGTGATAAAAGGCTGAGGATGAAAAATCCAGAGCCTGAAGGCACAAATTGTGCCCCCTAAACTACAAATTTCTGGGTGTTTCTGGGTTTCGTTTCTCTCCACTCACACAGTTCCTTCCTTGCTCTTCAGTTTCCTCCGGTATCCCAAAAAACAAACAAAAAAACCCCCCAAAAAAAAACCCCCAAAACCCCAAAACAAACAAACAAACAAACAAACAAACAAACAAACAAACAAAAAACAAAAAAACAAAAAAGCCCCCCACAAAGCTATGAAGGCTTTCAGTCAAAATTCTGTTTCTGAGTTTCATTTCTCTGCACTCACACAGTTCCTTCCTTGCTCTTCAGTTTCTTTCTGCATCACAAAAAAACAAACAAAAAAAGAACACCAAAAAAACCCAAAACAAACAAAAAAAAACCCAAACCAAAACAAAACAAAACTTCGAAGGCTTTCAGGCAAAATTCTGTGGCTTTCAGTCAAAATTCTGCTTTTAAGGAATGGATAATAAATCCCAAATCAGCCCCGTATTTCTTCTCTTCCTTTGTCTCACATATCAAAACGCTTCCTCGAGCAAAGGGGACCTTTCCATGAGCACCCCAAGGAAAGAGAAATCAGAGCCTGGGCCAGAGAAGGGATCCTCAGGAAAATCTCCCAGCTGAACCTGAAAAACTCCAACACAGAACCCCAGTGTTGTGCCCACGAGGGTTCCCTCATCATGTGCTCCCAAAACACGAGGATTTTGTTCCCTGCACTTCCCTGAGTCATTCCTTCCTTTTTCATGGAGAAAACAGAGGGCAGGGACAGCCTGCTCGGAGAAWTTTGGGGAGGACAACAGGAAACGGCTGCTGGGAACAATTTCCACGCATTTTTTGGCGTCTTTCTGTGCAGTCTGTGATGATTTTGACTTTGCTGCTGCCTGTCTGAATCCAGAATTAGCTCTGGGCAGTGCTGGAGCATTCCTGGACAGCCAAACTGGCTCCTCATGCCTGAGGCTGAGTTCTATTCTGGACATTAAACACACTTTGGAAATGTCAGGGAATTGATGGGTCACTCTCTGAGCTGAGCAGATTCCTTGTGAGCACTGCAGCCACATCAGTTCTTTAGTTTTAAAACTCTGTTCCATGGTGACATGTCAAAAAAAAAATAAAAAATCCCAAAATAAAAGTTTTCAAGTGATTTAAGCTCACAGAGATTTTGCTGCAGCTGAACTTTAGGAGAAGTGGGAGTTACAGAAAAATGGARGTGATTGAGACAGATCTGACAAAATTGGTGCTCAGGGAGATATCAAAGAGAAAGATTTGATAACTAAAAATGATGGGTAATGTCCATAATTATAATTTTTGATCAGGGAGAGACCCAGGATGGGGTTTTGAGGCATCTCCTGCCTTCCTATTKAACCCAGCAAGTCCAGGCAGGCCCCGTGGGTGGGGAAATACTGTGACCAAAGAGTGAAGGAATCCACAAAGGACAAGCAGAGAGAACCCTGGATCCCTCCTGTTCCTCCTCCTCCTTCTTTTGGTTTCCTTGTTCCCATGGCTCACACTCAAACTGCAGCTCAGCAGCAAACAAAGCCCTCACCTGAGAAACCAAAGTCTGAGAGCTTGGGAGGCAGAATTCAGGTCAAATYCTGCACATTTGGGACAGCAAACACRGGGAAATGTAAGCAAAGCTCTTGGCAATTCACCCASTTGGCTCTGATTGTTGAAACTGGGGTTGATATAAAAGTTGTAAGAACTTTTTCACTTGGTATTTTTAATATCAGGCGGGAGTTCAAGCATTTCTTCCTGTTAATGTCACAGAAAGCAGAACAGCAGAGAGTGGTTCTGGCATCCCATGGCGGTGACGAGGAAAAACTCCTTTAATTCAGGAGATTCACTGATCRTAACTCCTTTAATCCAGATCATTCCCAGCACTGTCTGCTGTCACAGACCGGGAGCAATCCTAGTTTGGGTAAGAAATGCTCAGGGAGGAAAAATCTGAACCAAAACCGGCCCAGCCCATGCAAAGGAGAGCCCCATCAAACAGCAGCCAGCAAATTCTGCTCCACTCATTCCCAACTGCACCCAAACAGGAATTTTTCCATCCCAGCAGATTYAGCAGAGCCCATGATGGGCAGCCAAAGGTTCTGACTAAAGGAGGAAGGAGAGAAATTAGATTTTTTAATCTTTTGTTAGATGGTGCTGTTCTAATCCTCACCGGGAAAAGCCAAACCACAAAAAATCATCTGTGGGGCTGATCCAGAACTCCCTAAAACCGGGGAAAAGCATCCAAAAAGTGAGTGGGGCTCAGATTGGGCCCCTGAGCTGGCACAGGAACTCTCAGCAGATTAAATGAGTGTCCCCTGGGTCACCAGGCAAGCCCAGGCTTGAGCCAGCGAGGGACAGAGCCAGGCTCAGTTTCTGTAGCAACTGCAGGCCAAGCCAAGGGCAAACACAGCTCCCCTAAACACAGCCCAGCCCCGGCCACCCCTGCAGAAGTTTTTGCTGTTTTTCTGCTTGAAAGGATGGAGCACATGGAAATAAAGGAAAAAGCACAGCTTGCCCGTGGCAACCTTCCCTCTGCGAACTGCTTGATTTCTGTGCGTGGCGGATGGCAATTCCTCCAGGTAAGCAGCTGAAGTTGAGAGCTGTTGATRGAAAAAGCAGAAATTCGGAGTGATTTTTGCTTGGAAAAGCATCCTAGGGGACAATCTCCTGAGGGGAGAGCAGCTTGCATTTTTTTATCACCATCCTGGGAGCATCAGGAGTGACCACAGCACAAATTCCATGGGAATCCAACCTCATACCTGCAGCTTACAAAATTATTCACCTTTATTTAAACCATGCAACCTCTGTCAAAAGAGTTGTTTTTTGACTGGAGTGAACCAGAACTGGTTCTGATCAAAGCCACGAAGATTTTAAGGCTTTGAGTACTGCATATTGCTAGAATTTAAGATCATTAAGCTTTTCTGATTTAAGTAATAAATAAATCTAAAAATCCCAGTGATGTTGGTCTAGGATGTTATAAAATTAAATAATGAAGGAAAGGGTGCAAAGCTGCCCGGGCTGGTTTTGTGGAGTCTAAAAGTTATTGCCATTAATTTTTTAATTGTCTGTGTTTTCTTCTTCTGTTCAGATTTTCAGAGCTGAACAGATCAGGGCCAAACAATGAGAAATATCTGGGCAGACCCCAAGAAATCAGGGAAAGAGTGAAAACGGTGAAGATGAGCAGCAGCACAGGACGCTCATCCCTCTGAGCTGCTTCTCTGCCTTTTGGGGATTCCTGGTGGGAATTAAACCAGGAATTAAACCCAGGAATTAAACCAGGAATTAAACCCAGGAATTAAACCAGGAATTAAACCCAGGACCCAGAGCAGCAAGCTGGGAGTGCCACGGTGCCCACGGGCTCAGGGCACAAACTCTGGGTGTGTTTTTTGTGTTGACTTTGCCCATGGAAACCTCT